ATACAAATACTTACTTGTGAGCAAGTTCAATTTGAGATTAGAAGTAAAACTGCCAAGATTTTGTTGTCAAAGATAACCTTTTATTTCACTTTTAACAAATACGTTAGTATGGTAGATCTTTACATTTCTCGATTTATACAGTAGTGTTTTTAGAAATAATATTTGCAATATCAAAGTTCTTTTGTTAACTTGCTTAAATTATTTATTCTGAGAAAAAACCTAGGTTGAAACATTTGCTTGTTCTTAAGATTATTATGACTGCTTTTGAGAATTTTTTCAAAAAATTCTAATGCCTGTTGCTCAAAACATTTACATGCTTTCTGCCTCAAATTCTCAAGAGTACTATTGCCATGCACTGAAGTATTTGAATTTATTATATCAGGTAAATAAAACAATGATAACATAATTTCAAGTGAATTTTTGAATTCATTTATATTACTTGATAACTCTAGGAAATTTTACTTTTTTGAGGTAATGTTCAATAGGATCGTGTTGACTTAAAATTTCATTTGTTTGAAGTATTGAGAGTTACTTTGTTTCTGGGCAATTGTCAGGAACACTGTCCTAGCATTTTTTGTAAAGGTCAATATATTGAAATATTGTCTTTAGAGACGCGAATAACAAATGAATCTCTGGAATGAAAGGTTGAAATAGTGGTCTTTACTTGAAATTTTCCAGATGATTAGTTCAAAGCTATACAGTCAGACCTCTCTAAGTGCTTGCCTGTGGGACCACACTTTAATAATGTGCATATAGAAAATAATAAGAACAAGTGCATTTATAGAGATTAAGTATATATTTGGGCCGGCACTTGAGTGTGCATTTAGAGAGTGTGTGCACTTATAGAGGGTGCACTTAGAGAGGTCTGCTGTAATAACACTTTGTTATTAAGTTGAGCAAGAAGATGTTAGTAGCGTGTAACTATGAGAAACGCAATAGTTAATAATTTTTTAATTTATAATATAAATATGAAAACCATATTTTTATTATTTATTTGCTTTAAACAAAGATGAAATTGAATTTTAAATAAAGACTACAATTAAATTTGAATCCTAAAATAACAAAGTTTATAATAATAGTTGAAGTTTTTTTTTTATTTGAAGTTTTTTGCTAATATACATACAAATACATATAAATGAATTCGAATAAAGATTATATTTTTTTTGAAGATCTCATCAATCGTGCCCAATCTCTCACTAATAAAAAAAAAGACAATGCACTAAACTAAAAAAGTAAATAGAATTTTTTAATGCAGTTCTAGTAAAAATCTTAAAAGATTTTCGCACAAGCACAAGCAATCAAACTACAGACTGCGCATTAAATTTCTTGATTATTTTTTACCAGATTTCTTATAAAATCATGATATATTGACCTCTTCCCCAAATAAGAAAAATAGATAAAGTAAATAATGCACCAAAATAGAAAGTAAAACGAAAATTTTCGGCTTTGATAAAAATCTTTTGTTTCGCTTGGATTTCGATTTCAGAGATTCATGTATTCAAAAAAAACAAAAGATTAATATATTAGAATAAAAGGATTTTCGCACAAGCACAAGCAATCACACTACAAACCGCACATTAAATTTCTTGATTATTTTCACCAGATTTCTTATAAATCGTGATATATTGATCTCTTCCCCAAATAAGAAAAATAGATAAAGTAAAATGATACACTAAGATAGAAAAGTAAATAAAATTCTTGAGTTCTGGTAAAAATTTTTGTTTTGCTTAGGTTTCGAATTTCAGAGGTTCATATGTTTCAAAAACAAAAGATTAATATGATTAGAATTAAAGATTTTCACTTAAACACAAGTAATTACACTACAGACTGTGTATTAGAAATCTCTCAACAGATTTTATTTTTGCCAGATTTCTTATAAATAGTGAACCATTTAGCTTGCTTATTATTTTAAATCCAAACCTGTTCACTATTATAGTTAAATAAAATAAATATCTTAATCAAACACGCTTTAAAAAAAAAAATTTCAATCGATAATGGAATTCTTATATGAGACTTCGTATGGCCTTGAAGAATCTAATGCTGGCATCGAACAAGAAGATACAGATGATGATGTTCTTCCATTTGACTGGAGTTCATTTGAAAAAATACAAGAAATAATCGCCGGATCTATTAAGGAAATAGATAATGAATTTCTTGATAATAATGAATTATTCGAATATGACAATAATATGGAAACACTTGAGGAGGAATCTGATAAGTCTATTCCTTTGGGTTCAAGTAATACTAAAAAATATACAAATTGTGTCGTTATTGACAATGGCAATGATCCAAACATAATTCAAAGATGTAATAAAGAAACAGTTTGAAGTGTAAATCAACTGTGTAGCACATGGGAGATCGATGTTCAAGCCGTAAAGAATGCTGAAAATGAAGGTATAAAGCTAGGTGTTTGTACACAACATCACAACTATGACCAAAAGGTTTTACATAATGGTATAAAAGCAAAATTATTAATTAAAGAAAGCAGTATTAGTACGCGTCACTACTTATTTTGTAATAAATTTAAAAAGTTTGTTACAAGAGGTAAAACATGTTCATTATATACGCGGAAAGTTTATGATCAAGTTATTCAAGTACCATGCCGTGGGTGCTAGAATACCCAGCAATTAATAATTATGAGGGACTATCAACTGAATCATTGGATAACAGCCACCTTCGTTTTGTTTGCACCAACTGTCTTGTGATGAATGGGGGCCATCTGCATATTCAAAAAAAATAGATAATTAATCATGTCTAGAAAAAGGAAACATAATACTGATATTACAGCTGGTTTAAAATTATTTAGTAGATGGATTGAGCAAATTACTGAATCAAACAATAACATTAATAAGATTGATTTATTAAAAGAACTTATTAATATTTTTAATAACATTACCACAAATACTTCTGAGTTACAAGGTACTATTATTATGCCTTCTACTATCTATACTGATTCTATAGTTCCTAGTCTTTTCCTAATTAAAACATTGTTTGAACTAAAAAAAATTAAAATTAATGAAGAAACACAAGCAATGCAATTAAAATCCACCACATATAAAGACTTTGGCAAAATACTAGCTTACTCTATATTACAAGAACGATCTAAGCTCAAACAAAACCTATCATCACTTGAAGAACCGGAATCATTAGATAAATATTATAGTGCAATGCTGTTGCCTCTTATAAACTTCTTTTTTGGGTTGATTATGACTCTAAAAGAAAAAAAAAATCAAGTCTTAGCAAGAAAAAGAAAAGAGCATAGCTTACCACCACCACAATTAGATGAAAAACAAGTAAAAACAGTTACTCTTTTTTTTGCATCAGTAATACTTACTATTGCATTTCCTCAGTGGAAAATTTGGTTTACACACATGCTTCTTCTTTTTGTCAATGACTAAGAATGATGGGATCTTTGTATAAAGTTCTTCATGCAGTCCAAGTAGTGGCATATGTTAGAGGTCACGAAATACGTCTTCGAAATAAGCAAATATCAGATGCAAATCCCAAATCAAGGCTTAATCTAAATCCAAACGTTTTGAATTATGCCGTTATAGATAATATCGATATGAAGGACAAAACCTTTAAGTATGAAAATATTTATGATGTAGTCTGTAGTACTGCACATGCAACACTATGGATAGTCTTTCAGTTCCAACGTTTAGAGACTGCCAATTTACCTAGTGAATTGCCAGAAATCCAAGATATTTTTGGCATAAGCCCTATTATAGAAGAATGGCAAATAAAAGTAGATGCAATTTTTAGTCAATTAATTAGCCAAGAGTCAAATTTTGGTATCGAATATGTTGATGCAGCTATTAGAAAGGAAATAAATTCAGCACCATTTGTAGCACCTCCAAATGTCATGATTCTTGAAGCGGGAGAAGCACCAAGTAAAAATACTAAGTTCACCAAGCCGTCGACATGTACCTAGAAGATTTTGGGTATACAGAGAATAGTATATTAAATTTAGTATACGATGAAGCAATATATTATTGCATGAAAGACTACAATAATGAAGAACAAGAAGTACACTGTATTCTAAGATAATGGTATACAAACAAGGCGATGTATAGTGCTCTAGTTTCTGGTTTTTCAGGCTATGGGCTTTTTGGACTTGCCACTCAACTTGGTGTTAAGTTTCTTGATAAATTAGAGCAAGTTGTTGATTATCGAGCAACGTTTCGAGTATTTGAACATATTTGGGTTGCGGTTGGAATTGCGATTCATCTATATTCTCAAGAAAAAAATATTTCTGTTAAAGATATTCCAAATAAAGACAATAATATAATAAAAGTATGGTATAAATTTTATTAATGGGCAGAATATTTAAAATTACACAAGCTTGGCATTCGCATGGCAAACTTTAATTTGCAAATACATAGCTTAATGGCATTTGCACCTATATTCCCAATAACAGGCAAAAGAAGATATGCTGAGTCTGTGGCACGATTTTTAACAAATCTTCAAACCAATTCACAATTTCTTCAAGACCTTTGAAGTGTACCTTCAATTAATATGACATAGAAGAGACATTATTTCGCTTTTGATGAGGCTTTAGAAACATTTGGTGTTAAATTTGTAAAAGAAAACATGACCGGGCAAACAACTAATTTGGATAATCTAAAATGAAATATCAAAGCAGCACAAGCAGAACATGGATGACTTAACTTTCTAATTTCAGAATTTACTGATGATAAATTAGTAAGCAAAAGTCCACAGTCTGTTAAGGATCGTTGAAATGCTCTTTGGGCGTTAGTTAAAGAGCTTGAATCCAGACTTAGCAGCCTACAGCCAGAATCACACAATGTATTTGCAGAAACCACACAATTAACAGATGCTGGCTATCAACAAATGTTTAGGTGTTGTCAATCAGAAATTAATAGAATGACTATGATTGTTGAACAAGATATCCAACATATTACTCCTCGTGTGAAAACTGGTCATGGTAAAAGAGATTTGATACCTATAAGTGCGACAAAAAGAAAACGTGAAAAAGATAATCAATCAGTTAATATTGATATAATAAATAGTGGTTCCACACAAGTTTCAGAATCATATAATATGGAAATTGAAAATACAAATGAGGGTTTACAACCAGTGATATTGTCTTTGACTGAACAGTCTTCTGGCTCCACATCTCGAATGCTACGTACAATACACAAACCCCAACCTATTGAAGAACCTATTTTGGAACAACTTGAAAGATATGGGGCTCTACCGTATTACCTAAAGAGTTTGTTGTTAAGTTAGAAGCAGAATTATCACATCATACTGATTATTGGACACAAAAGCGAATTCGAGATCGGTGGTATAACCAATATAAAAGATCGAAATAAATTTTTTTTTTTTTAATTAATTGTTAAATTATATAAATTATTAAATTATTATTGGTATTAAATATAACAAAGAATAAATAAATTTAATAAAATATTTTACTTTAACGGAAATCTATATAGTATAAAACAGTTTTTTCCGATTTACTCTGAACTTTTATAACACACCACTCTTTCAAGAATGCATTTTGCTGAAAGATCTTGCTCATGCGCACCTAACAAGGCCTTTTTCATGTTAAGATCTTGAAAACTGAGCAAGAATCTTACGAAAGAAGACAAAATGGTTGCAATCTTTGAAAGCGTCGAATGTTACAGAGAAATATTGTTTCTTGACATTTTTTATACTGTTGTGTTTGTAGAAACTCCAGCATTAGCATTATTTAAAAGAAGTTTGAGTATTTTAACTAAGACTTTAGACGAAAAACCAAAAATGCAAATTCGTCGATTTGTGAAGATCATATGAAAAAATTTTATGTGTGACATGTTGATCAACTGATAATACAAATACCTAACGCTAATTGTATTTTAATTAATACTTTATTCTTTATTAACCAAACCAGATCTAAATCAACCTACTAATTCATTCAGATGCATCTGTCTTTGTTTTATTGGGCAGAATCTAACAACTTATGACCAGCCTAACTATTAAAGCTACCCGAAAAAGTACACATATCAATTTGAACATGTGAACATGCTATCCAATAGTATGCAATTTCCTCGTGACCATCATCCCGATAGGCCGGGAAAAATCCGTTCACCTTACGATTACTAAAATACTACATAATTACGTCATAAAATCACATACGAAATCATACAATAAATCAATAATCATGACAATGCATAGTACAATTGATATACCCCACGATCGATTCAAGACAAAATGCTACTCCGATATTCTCGTATCGGGCAGCTCATAAAGTGCATTTATAAAATATTCAATATGAAAATATTATGCATAATAATCTACATAATATATTAATAAAAATTACATAGACCGATCAAATTATGTGCACTTATCATTATAAGGAAAGTGTACTTTACCCTGTAGGAAATTTTATCCGAATATTTCCATTATTATTGTGAAAACTCCTGCAACATGATCAATAAAATCCAAACAAGCCGAATAATCTCCATGATTTAAGGTTATAAATTCCATGAATATGCGACATTTACGAAAAAAACATGAAATATAAAACACAGATCGACTTTTTTTATAGGGTTAGAGCGTACGCTTATGGAGTATCGACTGTATATCTATCGTAACAATAAATTATGTGCTACATTAGGATGTGCGTTAATTCGGGATGCCCATGAGTGCTAATTCGAGATCGGATAAGTTATTCTTGAAGGACCCGATTTTCAAAATAATGCCCACGGTGCCAATCCCTAGTACGTATTCCAGTATTCCCCTAAATATCTAGACCAATAGGTTAAGGCTTCGTTTTGGGTGTCAAGGGACGCTATGTTTAACTTTAAAGTTTTTATTCTATTTACGTGCGCTACTAACTGTGTTTATTAACTTATTTGTAGGTGTTATCAATTATTCTTATTTATTTGTTAGAAATTTTCAAACGAAAGATTTGTAAAAGGTTTTTGTGCTTTATTGTTTTTGGGTATGAAAAAAGAATGCTTTTTTTAATTACATTTTTATGCTATTTCCGATCGTTCATTAAATTATTCAAATTAATTACCAACCTATGCTACATTGTTCATGCGATTACGTAAATTAACTACAAAACTATGATTATATTTTTCATGCAATTATCACGCTATACATATTGACTATAAATATCTTTAATTAATTACATCATTGATTCGTCTCTGACCCACCAAATCACCGGCTCCGTGATCACCTTTACTGTCAAGTCCGTGTAAATACACTAGTTCCAAATACAAAGAAAATAGATATACCCAGTGATGCCGTTAATAGCTCTGCTATGGTCAAAAACAAAACATTCGGGACATGTCTTAATGAAATATGCGCACATTTACTTTGACCATTATTTGTCGACTGATAATTCATAAGGCAAGATATCCATTCAAATATCCATGGAGAAAGATCTGTTGAGTCTGATAGAAATGGAGATAATTGGTGTGTTGCCAAAATTGAATATATCTAAAGAGTAATTCAGATTAATAAATACAATAAAATAGGTAAAAAGAAATAATAAATTTAAGAGTTACCATAAAGACAATGAAAGTAGATATCAAAATCATTGTTAACAATAAAGAGCGCCATTGAATCTTAATGACGTTTAAAACATCTTGACCGGTGATAGGACCACCCACAGAGATACTTGATCGTGTTATGACCGTTCCTAAGGATGAATTTTCAAAATCACGCGCTAACATCCATTGTGCCTACGTGAATCAAAATTATTAGAATTTTATCACAAACTTTGACGATAAACTTAAGAGACTTACCCTAGAAATATGAATAAAAGTCATAAAATGAATCAAAAATGCAGGTATAACAAAAATGGCCAGCGGAGTCCAGAACATTGTTATAGAGATTTTTCCAGAAACCAAACAAACGGCACCAAAGTCGAATGAAATATTTTTTGTGGCAGCTGGTATGAAGGTAAATGATAATGATATCATCCAAATAAATACTTGTGTATGAACATAATATCTCTGAAGTAAATTTGATTTCCAAACAGCTTGAACGTGTAATTGTAGGATTAAAAGTAAGCAATATAAAATAAGAAGAAACGTTGATAGGATCAACAATACTCCTATTTCATATTAATATATGAAAATGAATTAGAGAATGTTATATGAATGGTGTCCTTTAAAAATTAATAGGAATGATATATTTACCTTGTATCCCGCAAAGAATATTGTTTTCCATAGTAGATTGAGTGAACTTGTCAGCACATTGAATATCCTTGTGATTTCCAATGTAAAAAAAAGTGACACTGAGAAATACTAAGAGAAAAGCGTTTAAAAGAAGAACGATCATGGCCGGATTTTCTCTTTTACTTTGCTGCATCGAATAACTTATCACAATAGTTAAAATACAAACAAATGAAAGAACTCTGACAATACTCAAAGCTGTATATATCGTATCTATTTGAGCTGGTGGATAGAAATTATTTATGAAGGGACATGGAAGGCAACATCCCCCAATACAAGTTTTACTGGTATAATTGCTTATAGGAGAAGCTATCAATGGTGCTGGACAAGCATGTGTGATATTTAATAGAGTGAAAGGCTCCATTTCTGAAAATGTTAATAGCAGAAATATCTCAAGAGTCAAAATAAAATACTTAATATGTATTTTTATGGATATTTTTTCATTTAAAAGAGTTATACTCTTTGTCCTGTCATAAAGTTGTTAAATTATGAACGGCATTCACAAGTATAGGTACTCTACGATTCTACTAGTGGTCAATACCTTTGAATATTAGTTAACTCTTGCTATGATCAAACTTTTTATATCTGTTTTTTCATTGTACAAATAAATACGTGGTTTATAATTTTAGTTTTAAAATGAGCTCATTTTGGAAGTAGAAAAAGATTTATGATCATTACTTTACTTATATGAAGTAATCATGCTAAGGAATTTTTATTATTTGTTGAACGTGACTTTATTTTAATTACGTTGAGGATTAACGGTGTTTCCCTTGACGATTAACTTGTATTGTATATGTGGCAGCATTAAAGTTATGACGGCCATATAATTGACATGTAGACCATTTTTGTCCAGTTCGATCTAATTACTCTTTAGATTTGAATTTATATTGTATTACATTTAAGATTAATTCTGCAAATCTTTTTCAAATTAGTGTTCTTAGTCATATCAATATGTAATCTACAAATTCGTCATGATATATAACGTAGTATATCTATTGGTGTAAAATTTTCATATACTTTAATTAATTGTTCACTTTTTTTTCATCTTTTATTTATTAGTTAGTTATTATTAGTTAGCGCTTAGAAGCAATAAAACATTTATTATGTTACGCTAAGTTACCTTTCTGAGAAATTGTTGTTTTGTCATTTAAATTTGGTAATTAATTTTCTTCAACCGATTGTAGAAGGTTGCGCTAGCGAATGCGAGTCAAAGCGCTGCGCAAGCTTAATTTCGAACAAAAAATTTTTCGCTTGACGAATAATGGTTGTATTTATAAAATACCGAAAATAAGTGATTAAAAAGGAAATGAATTCCTCAAAACTGCATAAAGAAACATCACATGTCAAAATTGAAAAATGGAAAGCAATCATAAATTTATTTTTAACCCTTTCAATTTATTGTAATTTCGCTAAGTAATCGGAAATTTTTATTTATTTATCGCCATTGATTATCGTTATTATTAACTAAAATCTATATAATTCTCATCAAAAAATTTTCTGAATAAAATAAAAATAAACACTATGAAATTAATAAAAAAGTATAATAATTTACTAATAAAAAATTTACATTAATTATCCAATAAACTTATTTAATTTATTTTAGTACGTAACATGATACAACATCTAATATTATAAATGATGCTTCAATGAAATTTGATTAATTATGTTTAATTGCTTTTATCGCAGAATGAAAAGATCATAAATCATGTGTAATTGCTATAATTTTTTATTCAAATATAACTAATCAAGAGCATTAACGTTAATATGCTCTTTCCAGTTTTTGGAAATGTTAAACCAATTTGATAAAACAGCTGTGTATATATGTATGGCAGTATACGATAATCCGGTTGTGATCAAGAATGTTGGAATGGATCACCTTGCTAGTAAGTTTTGCATTCGAATTTGCACCTACAACTACCCCAACAGCACCCAGACGATTTCTGCTATTATGCAGATCTTGTGTAACAATAATTAATATTGATATACTGATTAAGATAATATCATGATTTAATATACATATATTATAATAATGATATAATTATTGACGTTAAATTATTTTTCTTAATAGCAAGCTTGCAACATATTTATTTTATTATTATAAAATACAATTTAACTGTATTTTATCAATATCAACATTACAAATAAAAGTGTTATTTACTTTTATATTTTAAGATTTTACTGCAAAAATATCGTATGACAATTATGATCTTTCCATGTTCAAGGATTTGTTGTTCTTCTTTTATGTGTTTCAATATCTGTTACCATTTTTTGTAACCCTGCAAAACTGCTTTTTACAGATTTTGCCCATCTATAATTTTGTATTGCCTTTTGCTCTTGTACAATTTTAAGTGCTTTAGTAAGATATAATTCATAGTTTTGATATAAATCATCTAAATCTTCATTGCTATTTTCATAATTTTTCAACTCTTTAATATTTTCAATATTCATTATATTCGGTTGATTTTCTTTATCTTGTTCAATTCTAAATAATGAATTTGTAGTTTCTTGAAAAGGTTGTGGCTGCGATGCTATAATATAAATTACTACTATATTAAAATTAAACTTAAATTTATTTATTAATAATTAAATATATATAGTATTATCTTTTAAAAAAATAAATGGATATTTTCCTTGCCGTTGAACTTTATTAAAAAATTCCAAATTTGTATTAAATTTACATTCTTGTATAAGATGTTTACAAATAAAGAATCAACTTAATAAAAAAGATTAACAATTGCATATCTATCAATCAGTATCCACAAAGTAAGTATTGTTGATATTTTTTTTACAAAGAGCTTGCCATTCAGATTTAAAACTTTTTCACCATGAAGCTTTTTCTCTTTTATTAAAATATTTTTGATATTGTACTTGACAGTATGGAATAAGTCGAGTGACAATAATATAAATCACAAGATTAATACATGGACGATAAAAATTGGGTAAATAATCATGTTTAATTACTTTCCAGTGCGATTCAATAAGCATTGTTGTGCGTAATATACAAATTTCAGTCGAAATTGATGAGTGTGCCCAAAGAACCCACATATTTTTTTGGTACCAGTAAGTCCACAAGTAGGCCCACAAGTGTTTTAAATCATTATCGATGTATAACTGATATATTTCATAAACAGAAGACTCCCAAATTTGTTAATCTGATAAAAATTTCTATTAATATCCAGAATAAATGAATGTAAATAGAAATGTTTATTCATTGTCTCAATAATAACTGGCTGTAAATCTTTTGAACAAAAAATAAAGTTAAATTTTTTTTGTTCTTTTTTTAATAAATCTAATAAGCGAGGATAAAATTCTTTGTCAATAAAATTAAACACATTATGAGCATCATTTGAGCTATAAGTAATTGTTTTTGGTAATGTATTGTCAGAAAGTCATTTTTTAATGGCTTTTTTTAAATGCCATAAGCAAATTTGTACTTTCACATTTGGCCAAGTTGATTGAGCAGCAGATATTTGACCAAAGTCTTTATCTGTTAAAAAGAAGGTAATATTATCCATTCCAAGTGTTTTAAGTTGTTGAAAAAAATATTTTAAAATATCTGTACGTGCTCCATTGTCTTTCTTTTTACTATTAATAAATAGGTAAGCCATTGCGAATCCAGCCTCATTGAATTGTCCAATTACTAAATAAAGCTCGAAATTTAATATATTTGTTTGATCTTTAATTTAAAAATAATTAAATTAATAAAAGTAATATTATATTATCAGTATTAATTTATTAACTTTAAATTATACTTACATGTAGCATCAACTATGATTTCTTTGTTTTTTAATAATAGATTAAAAAATGGAGTTACAAATCCAAGATATTTAATATCTTCTATAATATTTTCCAACACAATTGAATATTTATATTCGTCAAGAAGAATTTTCATAGAATTTAATTGATTATTATAACAAATATATTTTTCCTTAATAAACTTATTCCACCATGTATGTACTTGCTTTGTGTAAGATCCAGATAATTTAGTTTATAAATGTCACTTGGCATTAAATGTAAATTTTTTTTAATCTCTTCCTGAACTAAATTATTAACTTCAAATCTCTCTAGTCATTTATGCAAAAAATTATGTTTAAGTCAAATTTTTGCAAAGTTGCTATTCATATTAATAGAAATAAAGAGTAT